GGCAGAAAAAAAGCTATGCATGCTGATATGATGGCAACCTTTGGTTGCTTACAATGACTGGTACTTCACATGTGAGGCAGCCTCAAAACCAGTTTAATAAACATAATTTATATTTATTCTTTAATATTAGAGACTTTTGATCAAAGTCTGGGTGCCCTTATCAGAATCTTTGCCAAAATTGCAGAGGTCCCCACACAGCTACTTCATGTGGGATTCGAACCTCAACTTCTTTGCTAAATTGGTTAAATAATTTCAGACCTAGAGTCGTTAAACCACAAGGCCCAAGATTAAGTGCTCCTCAAGCAATTGTTGGAGGAACCTTACCAATTGACATTAAACATTTGAAGCTATGGTTAAAGGGCTATGAGGTTGCTGAACAAAACTATCTTTTGAATGGCTTTAAAAAATGTTTTGGACTCAATACTCTGGTCCACAGATTAGTTATGAAGAAGTTGAACTTGGTCGAATTTTAGGAAAACCATTTTCTAATTTAAGAGTCAATCCTCTGGGATAAGTCCCAAAAAATCAGGAGGTTTGAGATTGATTACTAACCTGTCTCATCCTACAGCAAATAAAGTTAATGATTTTATTGATTCTAAGTACTGTTCAGTTTATTACTCCAAGTTTGACAATGTTATTGCAAAAACTCAATTATTGGGCAAAGGGACTGAGCTTGGTAAACAAGATATTTCTTTCGCTTTAATGTGTCCAATAAGGCCAGAGGAATTCCAACTGTTGGGGATTAAATATAAAAACAAAAAATGCTGCCTCAAGGTGCATCAATTATTTGCACAATATTTGAACGTTTTCTCCTTTTATCCAGTGGGCAGTATCAAATTATGCAAAATCTTCTTACATTGATCACTATCTGGATGATTTTATTTTTGGGGTAAATCTGGGACTTAAGACTGTACTAAGTTGTTGTCTGATTTTAATCATATCTGTGATGACATGAACATTCCATTAAATCCAGGTAAGTCCGACAATTTGGAAGTCCGTATCCCGCCAGAAAAAAATAGAGAAGGCAAAAGATATTATTAATGAAATTATTTATAAGAAAAGGGTCAGCCTTAACAAATTCCAGTCTGTTGTTGGTCTTTTAAATTTCTTTACAAGAGTGATTTCTTCAGGTCGAACATTTAATTGTGGCTTATACAAAGCAATAACCCAGGCTAAACGCCAAAATCATTTCATTCGAATTTCTTCCTCAAACAAAGAGGATTTCATGATGTGGCTTAATTTTTTAGAGCATTTTAATGGTATATCTGTTTTCAGCAACCTTGATTAGGTGTCATATAATAAGCTTCATTTATATACTAACTCTGCTGGAAATAGAATCTTGGCCTGTGGAGCAGATTAAGATGGAGAATGGTCAGTTTTTAAATGGTCAGAGTGCTGGAGTGATGAAGTTTTCAAAGACATAACCTTTTTAGAATCAATCCTAATTGTTTTGTCAAAGGGGAAAAATGATTCATTATTCATACAGATAATCAAAGTCTTCTCCAAATTCTTAACAATAAATCTTCACGCAACCATCGGGTTAGATATTAATGAGACAGTTGGTTCTTAAATTGTTGCGGCAAAACATTCAGATTAAAGCACATCACATCGAGTCAAAAGGAAATGGTATTTGTGATGGCATCAGTCGTCTGCAATATTTACGATTACTATCCTTATTGCCACATAATGCTTGTAAAGTTCCACTTTCAATTCCACAGGATTTCCAGCATTTTTGTGCGACAAAATTTACCGTCTTGTAGATCAGTCTTTGTCGGTCAATATGCATAGAACTTACTGTTCTGTACTTCAAACATTTGACAATTTCAGATGTTTACAGTTTAATAATAAAAGTTGGCCGCCTCCATTATTTCATATTACTCATTATGTAGCTTATATGTCATTTAGCGGTTATGCATACAAAACTGTTAATTGTCATATAGCTGCCATCACTTTCATTAACAAATTCTATAATTTGACAGATAACACTCATAGTTTTTTTATTCCGCAAACTTCTTGATGGTATGAATAGATATCAAAGGCGTAGGGACAATAGACAGCCAGTTACCACTAATTTGCTACATCATCTGCTTCACAACCTCAAATTTGTCTGATAATCGCATTATGAATCCATATTTTTTGCTGTGGCATTCATGGTGACATTTTATGCTCTCTTGAGAGCGAGTGAAATTAACATAATTAGTAAAGAGGATGTATATTTATCTGATTCGCATTTGTGTCTTAATATAAGACATTCAAAAACTGATCAATTACATAGAGGTTCCACAGTGAAAATTCCATTAGATAATAATATGTTTGGCCATCTCAAGGAAATCATCCTTAATTCTATGGCAGTGCGTCCTACCAATTTCTCTGCCATTTAGATGGTTCAATACTCACGCCTTATCAATAAATATGTTTTAACAAAAACCTTAAAATCTCGTTTAAGCTCTATGTGAGGCCATATTATAGTTCGTCCATGTTATTATTCCTTTGCATTTTTTCCATATTAGGTGAACAGTCCAGACATTCAGTTTGGTTGGTTGGTTCTTCAGTTTTACGAGATGTTCATCAGTATGCAAAGTGTAACAGTACATTTGGTGAACATTTACAATTGATAAAGCGTAAAAAATCAGCACCTCTGAAACGATATTCAATTATTAGCTACTGAGTATAACTCTGTGTCAGATATTCTGTTAATTCATTGTGGAGGAAATGATTTGGGTCAAATCTGTCTTTCCTACATTAATTATTCTTTGGATTTATATTATATCATTTATTATTCTGTAGATTTATAACACTTATTACCAGGTACGAGAATCATTTGGTCTACTATTCTTCCTAGGCTCCATTATGGAAATGAAGAATATCAAATAAAATTAAATAAACAAGAGGGCCATGATGGCCCTGAGTCGCTCACCAGAAACAACTGTTTTTCAAAGAACTTGCTGAAAGACCAATCCAGCTCAACTTTTACTTGTCCTTCTAATTATTGAAATATTTTGCCCTAATATTTTGGAGGCTTTGTTAGAAATATCTATGTTGCAAGTGTGTTCCAATGAGAATGTGTAGAATAAAATAATGCAGAATAAACAGGTCTAGGATTTCATGATATTTACGGACAGTCTGTAAATTTTTGGACGAGCCATAATTTTACAGATTTTATAGATCTGTAAATCTACAGACATTAAGTAAGAAAATAGTAGAAGCTGCATTAAAATTCAAAACCACAGGTTAAAATTAATAAGGTTACATACTATATGATTAAATGTAACAGTATGGTGAGATTCAAAACAATATGATGACTTTCAATTTTCACTTTTATTAAATATTTCAAAATCATCATACAAAGATGAAACTCACCACATTACCTTTGTAAATATAAACAATCAATAAAAAACAAGTCAGAAGCTGCGGATTTTTGTGTAAAATTAAAAACAGCAAATTTCACATTGAATATAGATTTGTAAATTTATGAATTGAAATATCTTTAAATTTCTAGACTATCCATAAATTTACGTACAGTCCATAAATATCATGAAATACTAGACCTGATAAACGACCACTACAGCAGGGTTAATTTTGATAGAACATTTTTTCTTTATAAATTTTGTAAATGAATACATAATGTCACATGCAAAATATGTAAGGTGTTTACAGTATGGGACAACAAACTTTTTATTTCAGGGAAAATTCGAGCCCAATCGGTAAAATTATGGAGCTTTGGTAGCTTTCGGAACGGAACTCGTAAAAATTACCGCTGCCACCAATATAGAACTGTCGCGATTGATTATAAAGGGATTGACAATACAATCAATCGACTTACCTTCCACGTCTGGATCGTAGCCAAGCTAGGAATTGCCTACTTCTTCTAGTTACAAATTACACTAACATGCCCAACTGTCAAGCGTAACACACTAGTTCCGAACTCTAAAGTTTGTGCATCCCGATGTGAATGATTTGTCTTTATTTTCAGTAATACAAACTGTGCAAGTCATTTTAATAACCAACTAGAACTCCGCGAGTCGGATGTGTCGCCTTGTGAACAATATAGTTTAAGAGAAATGGCAAAGACAAAAATGAAATTTGAAAAATCAACAAAGGGCAATAACTTAAAAAACAAGAGCCACCGCCGGGCGGGGGCAACGCTGGACTTTTTTACTTTTTCTAAACGCAAACATAGAAAGGTTTGAACATATATAAGCGTTTCATTTTTTTAAATTTAGTTGGTCTGTCTTGTCAAATTAGTTTTGTTTATATATTTTGTATATATATATATATGAATAGAAACATTAAGCATATTTCTAAAAATAGCAACAGTACGCAATTTCTTAAAATAGCAACAATGCCGCAATTTCTAAAAATAGAAAAAAATGACGCAATTTCTAAAAATAGCAACAATAACGCAATTTTTAAAAATAGAAAAAATGACGCAATTTCTAAAAAATAATAATGACGCAATTTCTAAAAATAGCAACAATGACGCAATTTCTAAAACTAGCAACAATGACGCAATTTCTAAAAATAGAAAAAATGATGCAATTTCTTAAAATAGAAAAAATGACGCAATTTCTAAAAATAGCAACAATGATGCAATTTCTAAAAAAAGAAACAATGATGCAATTTCTAAAAAAAGCAACAATTTCTAAAAATAGAAAAGGACGCAATTTCTAAAAATAGAAAAAATGACGCAATATTTTCTAAAAAAAAATAATATATATATATATATATATATATATATATATATATATATATATACACACACACACACATATATATATATATATATATATATATATATATATATAAATTGCGTCATTTTTTTTTTATTTTTAGAAATTGCGTCATTTTTTTCTATTTTTAGAAATTGCGTCATTTTTTCTATTTTTAGAAATTGCGTCATTGTTGCTATTTTTAGAAATTGCGTCATTTTTTGCTATTTTTTAGAAATTGCGTCAATTTTTCTATTTTTTAGAAATTGCATCATTGTTGCTATTTTTAGAAATTGCGTCACTTTTTTATTTTTAGAAATTATGTCATTTTTTTGTATTTTTAGAAATTGCGTCATTTTTTTATTTTTAGAAATTGCGTCATGTTGCTATTTTAAGAAATTGCGTACTGTTGCTATTTTTAGAAATATGCTTAATGTTTCTATTCATATATATACAAAATATATAAAGAAAACTAATGTGACAAGACAGACAAACTAAATTTATAAAAAGGAAACGTTAATTAATATATGTTCAAACCTTTCTATGTTTGCGTTTAGAAAAAGTAAAAAGTCGAGCGTTGCCCCCGCCCGGCGGTGGCTCTTGTTTTCAAATATCATGCCATGTTCGTTTTCAACACTACCCATAGTTTCATCAAGTGACAGAGTCTGATTAAAAAATACAAATCAAAAGTTGATATATTAAGACAGGCACTGAATTCCAATCTACCTATAAATGCTGAATTCTCAAACCTATACTCTCAAATCATGCGTATATATATTATGGTATCTTGGAATTTTACTGACCTACTTTGCAAATAGTTACATTTAGGAAAAATTAACGAGGCTTCTGTCGACAAAGATTTTTTTTCAACAAAAGCCCATGATTTAACTAAAGTTGGTCCCTCAGAACACATACAAGCTGATTACAATTTCAAGAATGGAAAAAAAACCCTTAAATTTCCATTACCTCTCTGTCATCATGACTTTTGTGACAATCTATCATGGACAACTCACAGCTGCAATCATTAGCAATTTCATTCTCAAATCTTACGTCCTGCTCATTTTCAACATGAGTCACAGTTTCATTATTTGACATGGTCTGAATACAAAAATGACAATACAAATCAAACAGCTATAAAAGTGAAACAGATTGGAAATTATTTGGATAAAACCAGCCAAAAGAGAATGCTGAACCAATGCAGTATGCGTAGGCAGGATAAGCTGAACACTAAGTTGTTATAATAACATCAAAATGTTTGGAAACAAGTCTGCTTCCTACTATTAACATATAACAGGCACAGAATTCCAATCAATATCTGATTCGAGAAAACTTAAACCAATATCAAATACATTAATCGGTATCTTGGACATTCATTGTCCAACTTGGCATATAAACATATTTTCAGTACAATTTAAAAGCATCATAAGCAAACTCATTTTCAAATCATATGTCATGTTTGTTTTCAACCTAACTCTGATTTAAACAAAACAATAAGAATAAAGTATCAATATCTTTTAACAGGCACTGAATTCCAATCTACATATAAACGCAGAATTCTCAAACCTATACTCTCAAATCATGCGTGTACATAAATGATGGTATCTTGGACATTTACTGACCTACTTTCCCAAAAGTTACTCTTTAGTAAAAATTAACATGACAAGGCCTCTGTCATTAATGTTTTTTTTTTCATTAAATAGCCAATGATTTAACTAAAGATGGTCCCTTGGGACACATTCAAGCTGATTACAAAGTCACATATTGGAAAAAAAAACATCTCAAATTTCCATTACCTCTCTGTCATCATGACTTTGATGACAATCAATCAAGGATATGTCACGACCTTTATCATTAGCAATCTCATTTTCAAATATATTGTCATGCTCATTTTCAGCATTACTCATGGTTTCATCAGTCGAGAGAGTCTGATTAAAAAATTTAAAACAAGTTTCTATATTTTAAAACAGGCACTAAATTCCAATCTACATATTTCAAAAAGTCTAAAACTTATATTCTTAAATCATGCATATATATGTAATGGTATCTTGGACATTTACTGACCTACTGTTCCAATATATACATCTTAAGTAAAAAATTAACATGAAAAGGCATAAGTTGTCAAAGAGCTTTATCAACAAATAGTCCATCATTTAAGTAAAGTTGGTCCCTTAGAACACATACAAGCTGATAAATTATGAAATGGAAAAAAAACACACAAATTTCCATTACCTTTTTGTCATCATGACTTTGGTGACAAACTATCACCGACAAGTCACTGTCTCCATTTTTAAGTCTCATGTACTGTTCATTTTCAACATGAGTCACAGTTTCATCATTTGACGTGGTCTGAATACAAAAAATCTCAATGCAAATAAAAATAGCAGTAAAAGCAGAAAAAAATGGAAATTGTTGGTTTTAAGCCAGTCATAAGTGAATACTAAACCTATGCGATATGCTTAATCAGAAAAAGTTGAACCAATAATTTCAATTATACTATTATATTTGAGGATACACATCTGCCTAGTATTGGTATCATACAAGTACAACAGGCACTGAATTCCGTCTTACATATAAATCTTGAATTCCCAAACCAAAACTCTCATATCATGCATATATTTATATAATGGTATCTTGGACATTTACTGACATACTTTGCCAATAGTTACACTTTAGTAAAAATTAACATTACGAAGCCTCTGTCAATAGTGGGTTTTTTTCAACAAATAGTCCATGATTTAACATAAGCTGGTCCCTTTGGACACATTCAACCGTATTACAAATTCACATATTGGCTCAATACTCACATTTACTGACTTACTGTTCCAATATATACACCTTAAGTAAAAAATTAACATGGAGACGCATAAGTTCTCAAAGAGCTTTATCAACAAATAGTCCATCATTTAACTAAAGTTGGTCCCTTAGAACACATACAAGCTGATAACAAATTATGAAATGGAAAAAAACCCTCAAATTTCCATTATCTTTTTGTCATCATGACTTTTGTGACAATCTATCATGGACAAGTCACAGCCGCAATCATTTGCAATCTCATTCTCAAATCTTATGTCCTGCTCATTTTCAAAATGAGTCACAGTTTCATTATTTGACATGGTCTGAATACAAAAATGACAATACAAATCAAACAGCTATAAAAGTGAAACAGATTGGAAATTATTTGGATAAAACCAGCCAAAAGAGAATTCTGAACCAATGCAGTATGCGTACGCAGGATAAGTTGAACACTAAGTTGTTATAATAACATCAAAATGTTTGGAAACAAGTCTGCTTCCTACTATTAACATATAACAGGCACAGAATTCCAATCAATATCTGATTCAAAAAACTTTAAACCAATATCCTCGTATCAAATACATAATTCGGTATCTTGGACATTCATTGTCCAACTTGGCATATAAACATATTTTCACTACAATTAAAAGGAACATAAGCAAACTCATTTTCAAATCATATGTCATGTTCATTTTCAACCTAACTCTGATTTAAACAAAACAATAAGAATAAAGTATCAATATCTTTTAACAGGCACTGAATTCCAATCTACATATAAACGCAGAATTCTCAAACCTATACTCTCAAATCATGTGTGTAAATAATTATATGATGGTATATTGGACATTTACTGACATACTTTGTCAAAAGTTACTCTTTAGTAAAAATTAACATGATGGGGCCTATGTCATTTGTGTTTTTTTCAACAAATAGCCAATGATTTAACTAAAGATGGTCCCTTCGGACACATTCATGCTGATTACAAAGTCACATATTGGAAAAAAAAACATCTCAAATTTCCATTACCTCTCTGTCATCATGACTTTGATGACAATCCATCAAGGATATGTCACGACCTTTATCATAAGCAATCTCATTTTCAAATCTATTGTCATGCTCATTTTCAGCAGTACTCATAGTTCCATCAGTCGAGAGAGTCTGATTAAAAAATTTAAAACAAGTTTCTATATTATAGAACAGGCTCTAAATTCTAATCTACATTTTTCAAAAAGTTTAAAACTTATATTCTTAAATCATGCATATATATGTAATGTTATCTTGGACATTTACTGACCAACTGTTCCAATATATACACCTTGAGTAAAAAATTAACATGAAGACGCGTAAGTTGTCAAAGAGCTTTATCGACAAATAGTCCATCAGCATTACTCATGGTTTCATCAGTTGAGAGAGTCTGATTAAAAAATTTCAAAACAAGTTTCTATATTATAGAACAGGCTCTAAATTCCAATCTACATATTTCAAAAAGTCTAAAACTTATATTCTTAAATCATGCATATATATATATATATATATATATACTATACATACACACACACCAATAAATGCACAATCTGAGAAAATTCAGTAATATAACCGTCAAGGTCATTAAGGAGCCCAAGCAAATTTGGGTTTGATAAACAACAAGGTCTGGTCCTTAAGAATGTTCTGTTATAATATGAAGTTTATCCCTTCAAAAATAGCAAAGTTACAGTCAGTTACCGCCAAAACAATGAAAATTTCAATAATTTGACCTTCAAAGACAATGTCATTAATAAGTGAAGGTCAAGGTCTTTCAGTATATTTTCAGTATATTTTTAACAGTTATCTTTGAAGATTATTATTTTCAAGTTTGAAGACAATCCATTCAAAAATAACAAAGTTACAGCCAATAATAGCCAAAAACATGAAAATTTCAATAATTTGACCTTCAAAGTCAAGGTCATTGATGAGTGAAGGTCAAGGTCTGACTGGTTATTTTTAAGGGATATCCTTGAAGATTATTATGTTCAAGTTTGAAGACAATCCATTCAAAAATAACAAAGTTACAGCCAATAACAGCATGAACAAGCAAAAATTGGACTTTTAACCTTGAAGGTCAAGGTCATTTATGGATGAAGGTCAAGGTTAGTGTGGTCTACTGAAAGGTCTTGTCCCAAGGGTTGTTGTGGCCAAGTATGAAGACAATACACCAAGAAATAAAAAAGTTATGATCCAGGTACAAGTTTTCGGACGGCAACGGCAAAGGCAAAGGCAACGGCAACGCCGACCTGACTATAACAATACCTCTACTTTTTTTTCAAAAAAAAAAAGTCGAGCTAATGAGATTGTTAATGATGCAGGCCGTGATGACAGAGAGGTAATATGATTTTTTGTATTTTTCATGTATTTGAATGTAAATATACATACATCAACTTGATTTGCAGTTAAGACATGACTTTTAATGTCTTTATAAGATCTCTTTATACAATGCCATCCAAAATTAACTTTACACTAAATCTTTTATCGTTGATTTCTATGTTGTACTGCACTCTGATAATATTTCAACAAATCTACAGTTTTTTACTAAAATTGTCAAAAAATAATAATGATGTACTGTATATTGTTCAATGTCAATGTTTTGACAATGGTTTTGGTTTATATCATTATGTTGAACAAATTACCATAGAAGGTTTAGAAATTCATCCATTATTATGTCCCATTGCTTTACATGTAAGAAATGCAGAAAAAGGTTGCATTTGCTGACATTTGAGATTTATTGCCAACTAGAAGGAGATATCAATAAGAGCTGATTATTTTGTCTATCTCCACGTAGTACTTCACCTTTGGAAATAAACATTACTGATATTCTGATGTAAATTATGAATTAATGACATCTAAAACAATGTTTAGAATAAAAACCAATGGGCAGAAAATTGCCTGTAAAGTTATTTATGGAGGGCACTGTATATATGCATATATTTGTCAAGAACATGGGCATCCATGGCCTAGTGGTTAGAATTTGTGACTTCAAATCACTTGCCCCTCACCAATATGGGTTTGAATCCTGTCCGGGACTTCTTTATGTGAGGAAGCCAGCAAGCTTGCTTACGGAACGTTGGTGGTTCTAGTCAGGTGCCCGCTTGTGTGTCATATACTGCCCGGAGCCTGATATAATGCACGGAGAAGCACCTGAGGTCTTTCTCCACCAGAAAAAGCTGGTGCTCGCCTAAATGACTATCGTCGATGACAAGGGTAAATAAAACAAATAAGATAGACAGACTGTCAAGACCAGAATATATGTATTATTTTGGTGAAGTTGATTTGTATTTAGATTCCATTTAAACAATATTTAAGATATTCAATAGTCTAGTACTTGTTCTAAGTGACCAAACTTTTTTTATAATCAGTGGCTGTTTCATAAATAAGCCCTTAGCTGACTGAAGATAATTTGATTTATATGTAAAAATCTGATAACTTTAGTGACTATATCTAAGAGACTAAATTTCTTCACACCTAGATAATTCTCACTACAATTATGCCATTTATTATGTGTATTCAGCATGTAACTGTAGTTTCATTGTATTATATGATTCCATAGATATTCTCGACTTGTATTTGTTCTAAGTGACCAATTTTTAATTGAACTGCCACATAGTAAACTTCTCCTAATCCTAAGAGGAAGTCCACTTGACTTGCCTGTCTGAATTTATGATTTTACCAGCCCTGCTTTTTTCTTGCAGTGTTCAGTTCTTTCAATTTATGAAATCGTCATCTAAAATGTCTTAGAACCCTTAAGAATGTTAATCAGTAAATGTTTTCCAAATAATTATACATTGATGCATATAAAATGTGTTTTTTCATGCTGTAAATAGCTTCATGAAATAAGGTAGTTTAAGTCTGCATGTATTTGTTTTATATATTCCTAATACACTTTTTCATTTAATAGCCATTGGTTAGTAAAGCTCCGGCTCAGTCAGTATCTGATGAATTTTTCGTTGCTGAAAAAGTCAATGGTGCGTATGAACTTATATTATACAAGCATTTACTGTTAGTGAGCTTTTATAATTGTTGGATGTCAGTCGCCCATTGTCCTTCCACCCACAATTTGCAAGTGAACGGTCTAGAGGCTATATTTTCACCCAGTCTTTATAAAACTTTATCAGAATAGTTGCTGCTACAATTATTGGAGGAGGTCACAAGTAGGTCTCATTCATTTAAAAACTAACACTATGCCCAAATATGGAAAAAAAAACTTGTAAGCACTCTAGAGGAGGCTGCTTTCACCGTATCTGTTTGAAAGTTAGTTTGAAATGTTTTATTAGTAATTTCATTGATGAGCAAGCACAGGGGTCATCTTAGGCAAAAAAAATAGGTTACAGTTCAGAAATAAAAAAAACCTTGTTGACACACTAGAGGACACAGTTGTGGTCCATTTTGTATGAAGCTTGGTCTGAGAAGTTTTTTCAATATCTCAGATGAGATCCCTTATTGGTCATTTTCTGGTACAAAACTAGCTCAATATGCCCAAATAAGGTAATCCCTCTGAATGCCACTGCTTTCTCTCAATCTTTATGTTACTTGGTCTCAGAAGCTTTTGCAACAATTTCTTGGTTGAATTTGCTTATTGGTCATCTTTGTTTAAAATCTAGGTCAGTATGCCCAAATAAGGATAAACCTTGTGACCACTCTAGAGGCCTTAATCAGGATTGAATGCTTATGAATTTTGGTATGATGAGATGTAGCAATGCATTCTTAGATAAGTTTACACATGGGTTATTTGTAGGGTTGGATACCGGTACCAACGAAACGATACGGTATTTTATTAATACTGATACTGATACTATTGAGTAACAACCAGGCATATTTTTCTACATAAGAAACATTTTGTTTTGTACTGGACACTCGAAATCCGCCGAAGTTCACGATATACGGCATCCTAGGGCAACACCGCGAACGAAATGTTGCCGCGAATTATTTCACATACGCGGTGACAATTCATGTTGGAGCGCCGCTATGTTTGATTAATTAATATTTTATCTATGAACTTACCTGGAAATTATTTTGAACTGGATACTTCCAAATGTGCAGGAATATCAGATACAACACCAGTAAAAATGACTACAGGTCTGTGTAACTGTAATTAACAACACTTCAGCGAGGGATAGTTTCACTTTAACTAATTTAAGAAAACGGTAATCCAAAACCATATGCTTTACTTAAGATTTTCACTTTTAATCCAGCAATCCTTTTATAACTAGAATTTTGAATAACTGTTGTCTTACAATCAATATACAAATATTAAGAATGATAATAACAGTCATTGCTCAAATAATTTCGCTATGATAATCCGACAGAAATACTTCTCTCTTTGTCTTGATGCATAATTGTGTGAGCAATTATGAAGAAATGTGTACAATATTTTGTTCACACATGTACAAAAATAAAGTGACAGTATCGGTGTGAATGTCAAAGTCGGTATCCCCTTTGATCATGTTTGAATGAGTCGCAGTGACTTGAGATGAAAGAATGACCGACTCTTTAGAAGTGCAAGTTAGGCACCTGTCAAAAGGTGAGCTTGTCTACTGCATCAATTTTATTATTTTCATTCGTTTCTAGGAGTTGCAACATACAATTTCCTAGAATATTTGTGGACTAAAAAATTCTTTTCATAAATATACGCGAGTATCTTTGTGCATTGAAGCACTATGGAATTCAAGAAATATCGGTGAGGAATAATCCTTTTTATTTTTTAGTTAAAAAAATAATTGATGAACATGAACATCATAAATATAAAAGGTAAGTTCAATACTCATTATATATATTCTTTTTGAGATAGAAAGCCTGGTTGTTTCGCGATGTGATTACGCACTAAAAAACTGCGAGCTCGTTTATACATGTACAAGTCTAAAGTTCAGAAACAAATAAACATGATATTAATAAGAATAAGTAATACATAGATGATTTGATTCTAGAATTATTTAATAGTAAGAAATAAAATAATTAATACAAAATATGTAAATATAACTACTTGTTACAGGTTGTAGAAGTACATTCTCTCAAATTTTCCTCGCGGTATAGCGCGATCTAGGTCGCCACGACTCCGACAAATGTGCAGGTTTCGCATCCGTAAACAAAGAATGCTGATTCGTAACATATTTCGTTTATATATCTTTACGTTACTTTAATTAAGTTTTTTTTTACCTCCAATAGACGCAAAGTATTGCACCCATTCAATTGTAAATACCGATAACAGTACCGGTACTTTTTGAAACGGTATATACCGGTACTTTTTAAAATGATACTCTGTACGGTTCTGGTACCGTGTACCGGTATCCAACCCTAGTTATTTGTGATCAAAATTATGTAACAATGCCCAAATATGGTAAATACATAATGATTCTTCGAAGAACCTGATTAAATTGATCAAATTAACCCGTTCTAATATCACTAGGCTGACTGAGCTATTTCCTCTGGTGAGTGATGCTGGCTCTTTTGATACTGAACAATGCAAGCCTGATTTGAATTGTGGTTATATTAGTACATATATGTCAAAAGCTGTTTGCACAGATGCATATATGTATCAATCTAGAGTATTATTTTTGGCGACAGCAGTCGGTATGCAATATGGACTCGACAATAGTTAGGAAATGAATAGAATGTGTAAATTTTCGAATTTTGTGTAAAAATATATTTTTATTGCTTGTAATTTATTAGTAACTCTGCATTGTCAAGTGAATGCATTTGACAGTAATAAAGATTGTGGTTCAAAAGTAGACTGGACAAACTGATTTTTTTCTTGAGCAAAAATGTTCAGAGTAAG